GTCGGGTCGATTGCTCGACTCGTCGCCTGAAAACAAACGACGCGTTTGTTTTTGAGTTTGAGGCGACGAGTTGGGCGATCGGTTTGTGCCACGATAGCCGCTTTGTGCCCTCAATCTGGCTAGCAAATCGACCCGACCGTGCTAATGGGCACCCCGTATTGCGAAATATGATGGTAGTGGTGGTGGTAATTGTGATGGTGGTAGTGGTGGTAGATGAGATGGTGGTTGTGGTGATAGTTGTTGTGGTGGTGGACCCCCCGGGCGGTGCCACTGACTGAGGTGTCTTTAGGCCATTCCCAAAGGGGGATCATTTCTCGTTCTAACGCACAGTGGAATTGTAAATGGGCTGATCCAACAATGACATAACTATGCCTGAACTACAACAAGGAACTTGTGCTTTTTCTTTCCTAATCCTTACTGTCGTCATTTTCCTCTACTTCTTTAATCTTTTGTATGTTTGTCACACTCTTGTGACCCGTCATTTCCGGGGTGCCTTGACAGTCGAAGCAGACTTTGTGCTGTTGAAGCTAGAGAGGTGAGCAGAGTAAGTCTGATTCCCTGTAAGGACTTCTCTGTTGACTGTTGACATCCACCCCTTGGCGCTCATATGACCTTATGCAGTAGTTGCGAGCGCCGTAAAACCTCTACTAAAAAAACCTGAAGTGGTGGTGGTGGTGGTGGTAAAGGGGTGGTGCTGGTGTTGATTGATGGTGATGAATAATGACGGATGGTGGTGGTGGTGTTGTTGTTGTTGTTGTTGTTGTTGTTGTTGTTGTTGTTGTTGTTGTTGTTGTTGATGATGATGATGATGATGATGATGATGATGATGATGATGATGATACAACAGATGCTGCCTCTGGTCGTGGTGCTGGTATCGTAGTATGTCTAGTAGTAGTAGTAGTAGTAGTTTGCTGCTACTGCTACCACTGCTGCTCCTGCTCCAAAATTTCGAACATGACGACCATGACAACGATGTTATTGATACGCCGATGATGACGACAACGACGATGGGGATGATAACCGCCGGTAAATAAGCCAATGAGGCACAGAAGGGCTTCCCGATAGACTTGAATGCCGTAAAAAAACCGAAGAAAGCATTATTATAATACATGTAGACCTAGCCTAATTCATTTATTGTGATCCTCGCATTGTTTGTATGGAGAAGATTTACGAATCAAATAAATGCATGTACCGGTGCTTCTTTTTTCGTATTACAGTATATCAGAAACGTTCCTTGGTTGAAAGGCGCATTTTAAAAATGTGTTATGAAAAGCATTTGTGTCACGGCACGGTGGAATCAGGCGGTCGTCAATTTTTGGGAATATATATGGCGTTATTGGTATTCTTTCAAAGCCTGTTTATTTGCCTTGCTTTTGGTGAAAAAATTATAAATCTGTTTTGAATAGAAGTCGAGATATTTGTGATGTAAAGAGATGGGGGTCACCTGGTTTCAAAGGTAAAATCAGCGAGAAAATGGCCTCCAAAGTTTAGTGACTTCCATAACTTGAGAGTCCTTGGAAACAGAAATTAAACTTACATTTTTGTGTGTCTTTTAATCAATTTTTTTTTCATTTTTAGTATAATCCACAGAGAAATGAGATTTTTAATGGACATAAAGTGTAGTGTTCAGCCAAAAACAAATAAAAACAAATTCGAAAACAAATTTGCCAACGGCCAGAAAAGAAGCCAGTTTTTTTAAATTTCATTATTTTGACGAGCGCCTGATTTCACCACGATGCCTCACATTTGCACATTGACTGAAAAGTGGCGGTTTGCGTGGAGCGCATTAAGCCGAGATTAATTATACATGTACATATTATCATCATCATCATCATTGCCTTTCTCACCCTGCATCAGGGTATAGGCCACGGACAAACACCTTACGTATTATCAGCAGGGATATGATTATTATGTGTATCTTTATAAATCAACCATACGAACCGTATACTTGCTCACGCGACACGCAAGCACGCACGCACGCACGCACGCATGCATGCTAGCGCACACGCACACACAAACACACACACACACACACATACACACACACACACGCTAGCTCGCACGCACACAAACACACGCGCGCACACACACACACACACACACACGCGCACACACATACACAGAAACACATGCACAGAAAGAGTGTGAGATGGTCAGG